GCTATTCCCTCTTTACTTACAATACAAAGATCCTTAAGGGAGAGGTATCAAATGAATAATTAGGAGATCCCTGGAGAAGGGGTTACCCCATCTTTTCAGGTATCAGAGGGTGAAAAAAGATAAATGTGAGAGATGAGAGCTGTCCTGCTCTGGGTCTATTGAATGGAGGGAACTTTCCTGGGAATTACTGTGATGTAATTGAATATTGGACTCAACTGAAATCTCAATCCTCTTGTTTCCCCAGTGGGCTTGGGTCAGGGTTCCAGTTCTGTTCCTTAAGTGGATGCTTAATAATCCCAATAGAATAACAAGGACCATAACTAATACTTATTGAGTGCCAAACACTTTGCTAAACACTTGATAATTCTCTCTTTTAATTCTCACAGCAACTCAATGAGGTAGACACCACGATCATTATTTCTATTTTACAGATGGGAAAGTGGAGGCTCAGGTGAAAAATACGCCCAAAGCACCTAACTATTTGCATGGTAGGGCTAGGGTTCAAACTCGATCTCTCTGGTTCTGAGTGTCAAACCACTCTGCTATAACTCTGACTTCAATTCAAGAACTCTGTTGTTCACCAAATCGACTCCTGGCATCAAATCCAGCCCTGGCATTAATACATGGCTTCAGGAAACACAGCTGTTTGGAGGAGGCAACAGCTGTTCATTCATTTACCATTTCACCAAGCCACACAAATTAAAACACCATAAGGTAAGTTTCACTCAGTCTCAAACACCAGGATAGGTAATTATTGCTTTAATTAAAGAAAAAATATCCCTCCCCCTTCTGCTCAAAACATTTGAGTATTGATTTCTGTAGGAGGTAAGGGAATGATTTGGGGCAGGAAATTTTTGTATGTTCTTGATGATAATTCTATATTGTGTATGTTTGAAAGAGAGAAAGACAAATCAGGATGCTTACCATTCATTCATTCATTCACTCATTTTTTAAATTTCTCTTTCATCGAATATTCACTGAACACCTGTTATGTGCTAAGCCCAGTTGTTCAGCACTGGGACACTATAGGAAACCTTCACGGATGAGAAAAATCTGTCTTATTTCTTTATGAGAGAGAGGCTTCACATTCTTGCATCTGGTAGGGAAAGTTTTCTCTGAATAAAAGTACCAGCTGGATTTCATGAACTATTTCTCAAATCATCCCCTAAAACCTGTCTTCCCTTAAAGGTTTCCAATAGGACATGGGAAGAGGAAGAAGGGAACGTGTCAACAGTCCTAGAACCCAGTGCTTCTCAAGAACCCAGAAAAAGGGGCGCCTGGTTCAGCATCTGCCTTCGGCTCAGGTCATGGTCTCAGGGTCCTGGGATTGAGCCCCATGTCAGGCTCCCTGCTCAGTGGGGAGCCTGCTTCTCCCTCTTTTCCTCCGCTTATGCTCTCTCTCACTATCCCTCTCTCTCTCAAATAAATAAAGTCTAGTAAAAAAAAAAAAATCCAGAAAAAGGTACAAAGCACATACCCAGCAGTCAAAACGGCCATGTCTGGTAAGTATCTGCTTCTAACTTCCCTTTTAGGACATTCTCTCCCCCTGCATTGCCTCTCTATTCATCTGCTGCCATAACAAAGTGCCACAACACTGGGTGGCTTAAACAACAGAAATTTATTTTCTCAGTTAATAAAACTCTCAAGGAGTTGGCAGGGTTGGTTTCTCTTGAAGTGTCTCTTCTTCGCTTGCAAAAAGCTGCCTCCTTGCATGCCTGGTGTCTCTCCCTCTTTTCATAAGCCCACCAGTCATACTGGATTAGGGCCCCACCCTTATGACCTAATGTAACCTTAATTACCTCTTTATTTTATTTTTTTAAAGATTTTTATTTATTTATTTGACAGAGAGAGAGAGAGCAAGAGCAGGAACACAAGCAGGGGGAGTGGGAGAGGGAGAAGCAGGCTTCCTGCTGAGCAGGGAGCCTGATGGGGGGCTTGGTCCCAGGACCCTGGGATCATGACCTGAGCTGAAGGCAGACGCTTAATGACTGAGCCACCCAGGCACCCCTTAATTACCTCTTTAAAGGCCTTGTCTCCTAATATAATCATTATGAAGTCCTGGGGGTTAGGGCTTCCACATAGGAATTTTGGGGAGACACAGTTTATGTGGTCTCTTATGTGGAGAGAAGTAACAGCCTCTCTCCCTCTTCCCAAGTGCCCAGGGGTGACATAATGCTAATGAGCACAAGCCCTGGGGCCAAACAGCTATGTGACCTTGGATAAGTTCTTTAAATACTCTGCCTCCATTTGTTCCATAATATCGGACTCATAATAGTACCTGTCCTATTACATAAGGTTGTTAGGAGGGTTAACTGAGATAATATGTCTAAGGACTTAGAACAGTGCCCAGGATACAAAGTAAGCACTATATAAGTGTTTATTAAGTTGAACATTAAAAGGAAAAACTCATTTAACTGGAGTGTGAGGAGGGTGTTATGTTACTGTCCCAAAGAATTTGCTTTTTCTGGACAACACTAATGTCAGTGACGGAACGGCCAATTCACAACAGCGAAATCATATATAATTGAGGGTGCAGGCCCTCCAACATTCTCCAAAGTAGACTGTTTAGCGACTACGTGATCTACTTTAAAATATTAATAACATTATTAAAATATTAAAAACATTTATTAAATTTTAACAATGGGCTGGACACTGTATTGAGGGCTTTACCAGTATGATCTTATTTAATTCTCATAAGGTAGGTACCAGTTCCACTTTACAGATAAGGAAGTGGAGGTTCCAAAAAGTCTCATCTCAAGGCCAAGTTCCCCAGTTAGTGAATGGTGGGGATAGGGCCAAATAACTCCAGTTAAGAGCAGATTAGGGACTGTCAGATGCAGAGCATGGGGGGCGGGTAGGTCTTCTCTTTCCTCCAACTTCCCATCACCCTTCTCTTTTCCCTCTGCTGAGTGACACATCCCCACGGCCAAGGCTGCACTCCCTTTGCTACAGAAAACATCCAAGCGGCTGGGACCCAACCCAGCGCCACCTTGTGAGCCTAGCATTTCAAGGGGCAGGCTTCCAAACAGGGTAATAATCGTCCCATTAAAATTAATGTCCATGAAGTGAGCCGTTAAAAGCGTGCAGATTAAAAATGGGGGGAGGGAACTGTTCAATTTAAATCCAAAGGGCTTTTCAAATAGACACTGTATCTTCATTCTTGGACCGCTACACCAGGCAATGGCTCAGGTCCCCTCTGCAAAGACTAGGGGGGGATTAAGGAGGTGAGTCCCAGGAGAATGAGGAAGTGGTTCTGGCCAGAAGCAAAGGGAACCAAGGTTTATCCAGGGCCCGCTGCATGCCAGGTGCTTGGCATACATTTCTCGCATTTAATCTCTGCCCCAATCCTGGGAGGGAGGTATTATTATTCCCAGATTACAGGGGGCAGTATAAAACCGTGGTTAAGCGTTTATAGTCTGCAGCATGCTGCCTTAATTTAGATCCAGTTTCCCTCTTCACTAACTCTGTGAACTTGGGCAAGAGGCCTTACTTCCTCGTGCCTCAGTTTCTTCATCTGTAAAACAGGATAGTAATAGCACCGCCCCCCCCCCCCAGTGTTGGGGGATTTACTTAAGGCAGCCAGGCAGGGACCAGAGCCCAGTAACCTGCATAGAGGTCACTCAGAAGGTAAGTGATGACCCTTCCAAAGGATAGGAAAACAGGCTGGGTGAGGGCAGGGCCCACCAAGATCACACTGCAGAGCTGGGATCTGACACCTGACCACGCCAGGGGAGGCCAAGGGGAAATCTCTTCTCATGACAAATGCAAACCCAAACGATGTTCATAGTCTTGAGAATGTTTTCCAAGAGACCAAAGGACTCGGGCCTTGGCAGCCCTCTGCCCGGAGGAAGCAGACAAAGTTTCCTCATCAGGTCCCAGACAGCTGGCTTGGAGCCACCTCTGGCTCCTCCAGTTTTCTGAATCCCAAAGTTATCTGAATCCCGTTAAATTTAAGATCAGAGAAGGGTTATCTCCCCCCAAATCTTGAGTGCCCCTCACCCATCTGTATCTTCACTAAGCAGGGACAACTGCGGCCTTTGGAGTCTAAAGTCCCCCGAGCCCCTCCCCCTCGTTGGTCCCTCAGGGTCTCCACTGCGCATTAATCGGGATCGCCGCTAGAAACTGTAACCCGGCAGGAAAACAATATTCACAAGGAAGCAGACAAAAATAAGTTACCTTCCAGAAAGCCCCTTGCGAGGGTCTTTCGGGTGCGCGCCTCTGCGCCTCTCCGGGGCTAGGGACCGACCCCCCCAACCCCCCCGCCCCGATCAAGCGTTCTAGAGGCTTTGGGGGCGCGTTAGGGTTTGGTGGGGAAGCCCGAGCGGGGTGGGGGCGTGTGTCGGGTGTATTCAGGTCTGAAGTCTATAGGTGCCGAGTCAGACCTGAAAGTGGCCAAGTTGGGTTGAATCTGGCTCTCTCGGGAGATTTTCAATCAACCCACCTCCCCCAAACAAAACAATAGCCTCGGAATATTTTTTGAATAACGCAGCCGAATTCGCTATCAGCTTCATCCAAAAACGGCAACAAGCCTGCTTCCCTCGCCAAATCGGAAGCGGAGCTGAATTCAGGAGAAGGAGAAGGCCTTCCCTCGCGCTCTCCGCCTCCGCGGGGGTCCCACGCGACCCCCCAAGCCCGGGACCTCGGCAGCGGGGGCCTGGTCGCGTCCCAGCGCGCCGCGCTCCTCCCCTCCCAAACGCGCGCCCTCTCGCTGCCGGCGCCGCTAGGGTTAAAAGTTACCTCTCGGTTTCTTCTGCCTGCAGCCCCCCCCCCGGGGGCCGGATGATGTAACCCCCCTCCCCGCGCCCTCCCCGCCCCCCTCCACCATGTGACACTTTAATTAATAATAGCGCCGTCAGCACAACAAACGCACAACACAAGGAGAAACTTGGTGTCCAGGGGAGGCCCCCGGCGGCTGGAGCGCGGCGGAGGAAGGCGCAGAGGCCGGAGGGAGCGGAGGCGAGGGGCGGCCCGAGCGCGGGGAGGGAGCGAGGCGAGCGGTCATGTGCCCGTGCCCCCTGCACCGCGGCCGCGGCCCCCCGGCCGTGTGCGCCTGCAGCGCGGGCCGCCTGGGTCTGCGCTCGTCCGCCGCACAGCTCACGGCCGCTCGGCTCAAGGCGCTCGGCGACGAGCTGCACCAGCGCACCATGTGGCGGCGCCGCGCGCGGAGCCGGAGGGCGCCCGCGCCCGGCGCGCTCCCCACCTACTGGCCCTGGCTGTGCGCGGCCGCGCAGGTGGCGGCGCTGGCGGCTTGGCTGCTCGGCAGACGGAACTTGTAGGAACGCGGGGCTTCTTGGTGGGGCCGGAGCCGAGACCCAGCCGGAGAGAGCAACAGGTACGCGCGCGAGCGTCAGGGCGCGGTGGCTGGGGACTGGTCACGCCGGGCCCGCTGGGAGCGCCGGAGCGACCGACAAGTTTGCTTTCTTCCCTTCCCATCTCTTTCTTCCCCTGCTCCCTCCTCTCGCCAGAATCGCCAGCCTCCTCCCCTCCAGTTGCCATCTCTCCTTCCAAGTGTCAGGTCCGCTGTTCCTGTCCTCTTCTTGGGGCATCTTACCACTCTCTCCAGTGGGATGGCTTTGGGCGGGAGGGGGGGGGGACTTTAGCCTCCTCAATCCCCACCAGCGCCTCAAGTAAACACAGTTTACAAGCAGTGCAAGTAAAAAGTGTGTTTGCAGTGAGGACGTAGTTACACGGCCACGCCGAAGAATTTTAATCTATCTCGGGTTCAAGGCAAGTCCCCCGCCCTCTTCCAAGCCGGCTGCCGTCCTAAGTCGCCAGTCTCCGAACCCTCTTCTCCCTAAGTGGCACGTCCCTCGTTTCTGTTCCCGGTTCTCCCGGAGCGCCTCCAGGTTTCCGGTGGAGCTGTCTTTCTCCCTACGGCCCCGCGCACTTTGCAGTTTTCCTCCGCTTTGCCAACTTCTTCGCTCTTTCGGCAACGAGGTGTCCCGTTTAAGGAGCTTGGCCTCCTCTTCACCAGGTTGGAGCAAAGATGGAGAAGAAGGTGCCCCCAAAATGGGCTGGGATCGGAGGCTGTTAGGGAAACCCCAAGGGGAAGTCTTCATAAAAGAGCATTTATTGAGCTCCTTCTGGGTGCTAGGCCGTAAATGTTTAGGGAGGGAATGTTTGAAAGCTTGCGGTATGCCAGGCACGGCGTGCTGGTGGGCGTGGGGAGTGAGTATTGAGCGCCCACAGCGTTTGGTACCAGTGGGGGAAAGGTACTGAGCATTTTCTGTGCACTAGGCCCTTGGGGTTGGAGAATTATTGAGCACCAGCTGTGCGCCTAGGGGAGCAAACGTGTTAAGGGATTGTCTTCTTAGACCTGGAACAGAGCAGAGCTGCAGAGAATGGGGAAGGGGAGAAAATCAGCCTGAGCCCACCACAGGTGGATCTAGGGCTGGAAGGTGAAGGTCGAAGGTGAGAAAGCCAGCGGCCCCGGGATGCCACGACCCACAGATGCCGAGCGCTCGGCCCCGGCCGAGCCCTGCAGTGCGCCGACACCCTGAGAAGCTGGCGCGGCGCCCACGGGGAGAGGCGGCAGCCGGAGCGTGGGGGGTGGCAGCGCCCGGGGAGCTGCGGGGGTGCGCAGGGTGTGAGCCGGGAGCGCGGGCGACAGATGTCGCGTGGGCCGGCGCAGCCCGGGCGCTGGCGAAGAGAGGTGCGTGCTTCGGGGCGCTCTCTGCCCGGCTCCCGGAGGTCCCATCCGCTACTCCCCCTCCGGGGAGAGGGGCTGTCTTCGGCCGGAAGGGGCCGGGCTGGGGCTGCTGAATCCCAGGGGCAGGAACAACATTTTGGACGGGGCGGAGGGAGGGGTGGGCAGAAAAAGGGAGTCGAGCGAGGGACGCGAAGCCCGAAGCCTGGAATTTAGGGAAAGGGGGAAAGAAAGTGGAAGGAGAGGGAAAGAAAAAGCGGGCGGCGAGACCAGGAAAGGAAGATGGGGGAGCTGGAGAATAAGAGAAACTGCTTGGAGAACAAGTTGCAAAAGACAGTGGGAATGTGAATTAGAAGCAGGATGCACGCGAGAGGAACCCCAGTAGGAGGGCCAGGACTCAGCTTCCTGCGGTCTTGGGATCCAGGCGAGGCTGGGAGAGCGCTCTCTTCCCAGGACCCGGCGGTGCGGGATGCTGGGCGCCCGCCCCGGGGTGGGGGCGCACAGACCGGGCGTGCGTCAGGGCTGGGGGGTGCTCCGGGGCGGCGGGGAGGAGGCTGCCGGCCGGGAGGGGGCGGGAGACCTCGGCTAGGGCTCGCGAGGAGGACCGAGGGCGCCCCTCCGCGCGCGGGGCGGGGGGAGGAGCGGGGAGATGGGGAACCCACGCGGCAGGGGAGGGGTCCCGCAGCAGTTTCGCTGGTGTGGCTTCGGCGTAGGGTTTGTGACCCCCTCCTCACTTGCTTCTGCCCCAGAGCTCCTGGCTGCTTCTCAACTCCAGGCCACCCCTGGGTTCTGCTTCCTCCTGCCGAGTCCCCCCTGGCGTCCCCTGCAGCCACACCCTCCAGAGTTCTCCTTCCTCGGGTGCCCTAACCCCGGAATGCCCGACTCGACTTTTCTGCAGCGCCGCGCCTCACTCCCACGGGAACACTGGAATTGTGTACCACCCGATTCCTGCGCTCCTGTCCCGGGGTTCGCCGGCCTTGGGCTCCTAGCCTCCGTGCCTATCCCAGAGCCTGCAGCTCTGGCCTTGCGTGTGCGTTTGACTTAATTGGGGGAAACCCATCTTTTCCCCGCCTCTCCGGTAAGTTAGGGAGAAATGAAAGAAAATCCACTGGAGAGAGACAGTTTGTTGAGTTCCGTGTGTGGTCCTCTCCACTTTTGCTACCCTAGAGGAGAAGTGGGAATGCTTGTAGGATACCTTAAGTATTTCGGGGAGGCCTGAGTCAGCCCTATAGGGCAGGCAATAATTCTCTTAGGCGTCAAGGGTGAACTTGTTTTCAGCCTCCCCTGTGAGCCAGCAATGCTTCTCTCAGAAGTCATCATTAAATAAACACACACACACACACACACACACACACACACACACACACACACGACACTCAGTTTTCCCCATATTTAAAATGGGGACAATAATAGTACTTCATGACAAAGTTGTCATGAAGGGTGAAATGAATTCTTGTTGTCAAGAGGGTGAAATGAATTCACATCCAGAGAGTTCTAGAACAGTGCCAGACGCATAAGAAGTAGATATAAATGTGAGCTATTATGTGTATGATTGTGCATTTTATAGCTTCCTTTCCCAAAGCAGACAACATTCTCCCATTGTTAGGGGGAAATTCCCCACCATCCCTATATGCCCTCTTGCGGAATCAGGGCAAGCCTGGCCAGGGTAGTACAGTGGTAAAGAGCATGGGTTTAGGAATCAGATGGGACTGGATTTAAGTTCCAACCCAGTAACTTGCAGGCAGTGTGACTGTGGGTAAGAACCATAACCTTTCTGAGCCTAAACTGGAGCTGTACCTCTTCTAGGATTGTCGGAAGGCTGATAGGAGAGCATCCATTTAAAGTGCCCAGTGCAGTGCCTGGCACTTAGCTCACTCATCAGAGGCTGTTGCTTAATGGGTAATGCCATTCTTATTATTTCAAAGGGGAAACTGAGGCAGAGAGGGTTCACTTGAGTCCCAGAGAACTGGTGGCAACATCAGAAATGGGAATGGAGTTTCTGTCTTTGAGCACACAGCCCCCCCCAGATGATTTGGGGGTGCAGGGGAGGAGAAGACACGGGACAGCAAGCAGAGGGGGCGATGAGCTGTGAATTCCTGCACTAGAGAGATTCCCTTTCTGCAAGAGCCTTAGTGGAGGCTCCTTGGAGGCTGAGAAGGCCAAGAGGAAGATGGGTGTGGTTTAAGCAATTGCTGCGCAGCAAAGATGCAGGAGGGGGAGAGAGGGAACCAGAGAGAGGGAGCCAGGGAACCTGAGAGAGGAAGAGAGGGAACCCAGGATGCTTTCTGGTGAGCACTGGCTGGCTGGGGTGGGGAGGGAGGGAGAACTGTGCCTTGGGAGAGGCAGGGAGGGAGAGAGAACACAGCCAGGGAATCTGGCTGGGAAAAGGGGCCACTGGTGGGCAGAATCTTGCCTTGGGGCTAAGAAGGGGAGGAAGAGGACTCCGCAGGCCCAGGAAGCCACATGGTCAGCAACAAGGAAGACAGAGGGCCAGCAGCAACCTGCTTTAATGAATTAATGCCGGCCTGGCCTGCCAGCCAGACATGCTAACTGGTTCTTAGCAGGTACTTGGGGACTAAGTGGTTAAACCTGGAGGCGCATCCCTCCAGCCTCCCACCCAGCCTACTGCACCCCTGCCGGGATTACTTCCAGAGCCTGAAAGCTTCAACCGGGGGAGGGAGCAATCCAAAAGGAAGGAGACAGCTGTTGGGGAGGTACCCCCCGGGAAGGGGCCAGATGTGCAGGACCTTGGCAGCCTGCCCACCACATGGTCCCTGTCTGGAGTCACCCGCTTGCCTAGTGAGAGGCCAGGGCACAAGTGACTGAGCTGTCAAGGTAAAAACAGCTGCACCCAGGGATAATTAAATACACCCCCAGATGTGGGCTGGGTGGATTTGGCAACCTCTGGCTTTTGACAGGCGGCTTTTCAGACCTATACTGGGGGATGGGAGGGGGGAGTGGGGGCTTCCGTTTCCCCTCTGGTCATCACCAGTGTTATGTGTGATAGGATTTCATGGGAACAATGGGATGCCCCGCCGCATGTGACTTGCTTGTCACATAGTAGGTATGCAGTAACTATGTAATGAATAAATGCATTAGTCAGCAACTATACAAGACAGGTATTCCCAAATTCAGTTTATTTCACTTATTCAGCTATTCATTATTGAGTACCCACTGGATGAAGGGCACTGTGGTCACAGGAAGGACCATGACATAGAAGGCCCTGCCCTTGTGGACATTTTAGTGGGAAAAGACTGATGATAAGTTAATACAGATCGTTCTGGTTACTGTTGCTCTAGAACTAGTTACTCCAAAGCTTATCTGATTATGCTTATATGTTCTGTGGGTTAGGGATTCGGATATGGCGTAGCAGGGGTGACCTGTCTCTGCTCCAGGCTGGGTGGGGGCCAGAATCACGGCGGGCATGGGGAGGAGGTAGTGGGGGATCTTCATTTCACCTCTGTGGCCTAGGCTTTTCCCCAGCATGGCAGCCTCATGGTGGTTAGACTCTGACCTGGTGACTCAGAGCCCCAAGAGCAATTTTGCTTTTCTGACCTGGCTTCAAAAGTCAGTTAGGTTAGAAGTAAGTCACAAGCCAGCACATATTCAGGGGGAGTGGAATTAGACACC